GAAGATCGGCGGGCATCATTAGCAGGGTGCTTGATGAATAATAGAGGAAATGAAAGGTTGCATTGAATAATAGAAGGTAATTTCCATCTTGAAAAGTCTCCCAAAAATCAACCGCAGTTTAATCAAACGCTATTGGGTTATATTCACAATGAAACACAAACCGGTGCATAGCTAAACTGTGTTGCTATCATAGTACAGGCGTCTTCAGTATTTGACCAGTTTTCTGACATCAGGCTTTTCGCCGGAACGAAAAGAACATACTTTTGACAACATTTAAGCTTAAATCAAGAATTTACCACTGACGCTACGAATTCATAATCAGTTTCGATAATGAACAATATCGACCTACACGACAACAGCTCGGGAGAAAATCATTCATACAATGAAGACAACTCTACTCGAGAAGCTGTCACCATCATAAACTGTATTCTTAACGCTCCACTGATGCTCATATCCATTCTAGGCAACGCTTTGGTATTGGCCGCCATAATAAGAACGCCTTCCATTCGCTCTACGCCGCACATGATTATGCTATGCAGTCTCGCTGTTTCAGATCTCCTTGTTGGTCTCATTGCTCAACCGATTTATATCGCTCAACAACTTACGAAAGACCGTTACGTTAATTACGTTTGGAAGATTATAGGACCTTTCTTATGTGGAGTTTCTCTATTGACAATAACAGCCATCACTGTGGATCGATTTCTGGCTCTTCACTATCACATGAGATATGCTACCTTAGTGACTGAATCCCGTGTTAAATATGTTTTAATAATCATATGGTTGATTAGTTTACTTATACCATTTTTTTATTTTTGGAAAATAAGTGTCCAAATCTGTCTTATAAGCGTTTTTATAGTCATTTGTCTTATAATTTCCACATTTTCTTACATCAGAATTTATCGCATTGTTCGTCGACATCAGTTGCACATTAACGCTCAACAACAGGCAGTGGAAAGTTCCGACGCTGAAAACATCTTAAACATAACGCGATTGAAAAGAACTGCAATGAACACTTTTGTCGTGTACATAGTTTTAATTATTTGTTATTTTCCGCTGTATATAGTTTCGTCTGTCAGTAAGGACTGGAAGATAGGATGGAAATTTTCTTCTACCCTAGTGTTCAGCAACTCTTGTATTAATCCATTTTTGTATTGCTGGCGTCTTCGTGAACTCCGTGCGGCAATTGTAAAAACAGCAAAGCAGGTATTTTGTCAACAAACGGAAGTAAACTAGTGTTCATCTTGTGAACGAAAATAAATATTAACAAAATACAGAGAGAGAGCAAGTTTGTTTGCTTCGTCGGTTCCCAGTTCGCTTCGCAGCTGATGTCGTCAGCTCAACTACAATGAATATTTGTAATTAAACCAGATGTAAACGACGATTCCACGACTTCGTAAAGTTATATCGAGGTGCACTGAAATTTTCCTCAGTGTATTGAAATATTGAGAGAAGTTGCAGATCAGATTCCTAAAGAAGATCACCTAGGATATAAAACGTTGTTTTCAATTTTATTTTCGCTGATATTTCGCATGCCATGAATTTTAAATGAGACCCAAATAGAAGAAGCCCGCCTCTATACAACTTCCAAATGCATCTTCAAGCTATGTTTACTCTGAAGGCGTTAGAGCTGAGTAAGGTCTATAATATTGTCCAAACAATCAGCACAAACTTCATTTTTACTTTGTTTAAAACTGTTCTTTTTCTTTACTTTCCCGGTGTGAGCTAGTATTGTCTCGTAAGTGTTTTTCAATGCGTCAAAAAAATGCTTGATGAACAAGGGCCGAGAAGAAATGAAAAACTGTGTCATTACTGAATAGGGTGAAGACAAACACAAAAAAATCACTCGAAATTAAATGAAACCATCTTTCAGTTATATTTGCATTGTTGGACCAATTCTGAGTATATGAATTACATGCCAATCTCAGCACAAACCGCTGTCGCTTTTTTGGAAAAGATTAAAAGGGGACTCAACACATTCAGGAAAAATGTAAGGTGGAGGAGCAAGTTTGATCAAGGTCTCGTTTAGACGATGCACCGGCTTAATTGCGTTGGATTCGCCGAGGTGGCTTTTCCACTGTTGACCAGTCTAATTACGTCCTTTTCGGTGGAATGAAAAAGAAAAATAATTTGCTGCACTTTTCTGCTCAAATCAAGGATTTGAAATACTACGAGTTCATATTAAGCGTTGATCATGGACAGCCCAGGTAACCCCGGACTCAAAAAAGCATCGACGGACCGTAATTCAAACAATGAAGACAACTCTACTCCTGAAACTACTATCATCATAAACTGTGTTCTGAACGCTCCACTGATGCTCATATCCATTCTGGGCAACGCTTTGGTATTGGCCGCCATAATAAGAACGCCTTCCATTCGGTCAACGCACATCATTTTGCTCTGCAGTCTCGCTGTTTCAGATCTCCTTGTTGGTCTCATTGCTCAACCGATCTATATTGCTAACGAACTTACGGAAGACGGTTCCATTTACCTTGTTTGGAAAATAACAGTGAGTTCTTTTTCTGTGGTGTCTCTCATAGCAATAACAGCTATCACTGTCGATCGATTTCTGGCTCTTCACTATCACATGAGATATGCTACTTTAGTGACTGAGTCCCGTGTTGAATATACTATAATAATTATATGGTTGTTTAGTTTCCTTTTATC